CTGAGATTAAAGCCAGACTTCTTATTTATTCCTATATTAAACTGAAATAAAAATTCAAAAATCAGTCAACTTTTTCTATTTTTTTCAGTGTCCCTAATCCTCTTTGATAGCTTTCAACCATGCTGCACATAATAAACCTTCCCCTTTAAGATGTTTAGATCACAATAGGTCAAGTGTCCCTGTCACTTATATATTAATTAAACAGGAAGTTAGGATTGTACTGACAGTATGACACATCTCATAAAAATGTTTATCTCCTTATATTTCCAGTTAACCTGTGAGCGTCTTGTTGATCTTGCGTAATTAATGTCCCAGAGTCCCACCGCAGTCTCGCGGGATGTCCTGTCCCCCCAGAACACAATTCCGTGCATCACTACACACTTTAGGACACATAACTGAACAGAAAAACGCTTTTTATTTCTTTCCCACAGCTTTAAAGCTGTAATCTAAAGGGACAGACGCTTTCTGCTTACCTTGGGTAAGTCTCGGAGTTGGTTGGCGTCCAGCAGCAGCTCCTCCAAACTCCGAGCGTAGCGATAAATCTCGTCGGGAACATAAACCAGAGAGCAGTGGCGTTTATCGATCATCTCGACGTGACGGTTGCACCGCCACAGGGGGATGCAGTGAAACATCGCGGAGGGGGAAGGAGAAGGGGATCAAATCCCGTATCCGTGCGATAAACAAACTGCAGGGAGGAAAGGAGGGAGGGGGGATGGATGCAACAGTTTGCTACGGTGGGAGAGCTCGATTCTCCACCGAGAGAGCAGGCGAAACTCACCGAGAATAAACACCGAAACTCCGGCGGTAAATGAGCTAGCTGGTCGCCAGTATCCGGAGCTCCAGCTCTGTGCTTGGCTCACTTTGTTAGTTCGTAGTTTGGCACCTGTGTTTCCTTCTCCTGGAGCTCCAATGCTTTAAAAAAATCACTTTCTGTGTAAAAACAGCAGCTTACATCTCTGTGTAGCAGAGAGCGACATTCTGTGAGGATGTTGTTTCTTTTTTCCGTTTTGTCCTGGAGTTTATTTCCTCTCCCGTCCAGTTTCTGACCCGGAACATTCACTCCCTCATTCCTATCCTGCGTCATCGCTGAGCTGCTCCTCCTCCCTCCGGTCCCTCCTCTGGATAGACCCGTCCCGCACAGGACCGCCGCCATGATGGCCCCCTGTCTGAGGGCCCCCTGTTTATTAGCGGCTGTCTGGGTGTTATTGGGTTATTTTTAACAATACAGAGCATTACTCATTTGTTTACTCTCAGTGAAAGACTTTATATATCTAAATTAAGTCATTTTCTCTTAAAATAAGTGCTTTTTTTTCTTGAATTGAGCAGCTAAGTGAGACGCTTTTCAAATGGAATAAGAAAATTTACGTTTAAAATAAGGAAAAAAGTTCAGTCTCCTATTTCAAGTTCATAATATCAAATAATCTAATTTTTAAGGATAAAAATGGGAGATTTTCTTATTTGCCTACTCAAATTAGGGGTAAATACACCTATTTTAAGACATTTCCATAAATGTTTAGAACATTTTTGTGATGTGTTATTGAAATCCAGGACCAGACCTTATTATCTTTGTAACATTAAAAAAAATATGGATATTTTGATGGAAAAAATGTATTTCAATGTAATAAGAAACGCCAACTTGCCTGAATATACTAAGAAAAATAAGTGTTTCTGTATGAAATTCATGAAAAACGGTGAAACTTTTTTTTTTTTTTTTGGTACAACATAACCTTAGAGGCTTATTAACTCTTTAGCTTTACTTTCTAACTTTTCAATTAGCTTTTTACCTTTTCTTGACTTTTATTTTTTCAAATTAATTTACAGTAGGTAATATATCATTCAAAGGCTCATCTAATTGGCCAAATGCCAAAATAAAATGTATGGCCATGTAGCAGCATCTTTACTGAATGACTGGATATAGATCTTGTGCTTCTAGACCCGAGAGACTGTTCTGTTTCTTATTCAGAAAGTCTTTTTAAAGTATTTGAATCACTTTATGAAATACTTGTCTAATGCCTTTTCAGTGTTTTTTTTTTATCAAATCTATCAATAGATATTAATTTTGGATCAGACACTTCAAGATTTTTTTTCAATCAATAGCCGCTGCATTTTAATAAATAATTTTCCTTAATTTTTTTTGTCTCGTGGCACCTCACACACACTGAATCATCCAACAATGAAAAGGAGCTTCATGGTAAACAGTGGAAAGAACAGATTTAACATCATAAATTATCTTAGTCATATGCAGCCCTGCTGCTGCAAAAAGCACAAGTTGTTCTAATTTTTCTTTTGTGGGTATAAAATAAAACTAAAAAATACTTTTACATATTTCTGTTTGAACAAAAGTCATTCCAGGTCACTCCCAGATGAGGCTGCTCCAGCTTCCTTACCGTGTCCTTGTTCAAATCTCCTCCAGCATCAGTAAATCATGCAGCAGACATTCCTAGACTCCAGGACACCCACTCGATATCTTTAAATTAATCTTATGAGTGTTTCTAGGTCAAAGGTTGACTTAGGTTCCATCTATAAGTAATCAGAAGCTCTAGAGGAGTCTCTGCTGCATGATTTAGTGCACATCATCACAATTCATGCTTATGTTAGGTTCAATTAATTTGTTTTTCTACACTGAAAACTTATACCCATTCACTTTAGCGTGATTCCAAAATTGTGTTTCCATGCATGAAAAGGATAATTTTGTAGCCCTTTATCAGCAGGCCTTCAGAAATCACATGTAAATTACCAACTTCTACCTTTTGATATAAAGTCTCAATGTTTCAGTAAAATGACATCAACTCAGAACATTGCATTTAATCAGCAGATGTTTGGCTTTAGAAAACAAATTGTTCTTCCACTTGGCATGGCACTGAGAAATCCATGATCAATTCAAAGGGGCTTCCTCTAGAGGGAGCCACATCCCATTTAATTGACCTTGCTGACCGACCTTGTCTGAGTTTGAAACACCAAGACAAAACACTGAACTGATTCCTTTTTCAGATTTCATTCTTATTTAATAACGTTTAGAGCAAACAGAAAAGATTGGCCACAGCCTTGACATCAGTATCTAATACTAAAGACACCCAATGAAGTTGAAGTTACTGATAAGGTTTGTTCCACATCTGCAAACTTTAAATATGATCATCATCTACGTCCCAGTTGTTTCTTAAATGCCTTCAAAGACTTTGCCATCATTGGAGCCACCTCTGCAAAAACATCAAAAACAAGACATTACCGAGCAGGAACTGTGCATAATTTAAAGTTACTTTAACTGCATAATGAAATGAAAAAAATAAAGAGATAAACACTTGTTTTTTTGCGAGGATCTTGGTTGTTGTTTCCAGTGGAAATGCTGCTACTGCTGTTGGAACTGTTGAACTCATTGCAACTTGATCTCATGGGGTTCTCCTGGTGTTTAACACTGGAAACATGCAAATATATATACACATGTAAAATGAAAATTGAACTTTGCATTATTATAGAAATATATGACATTAAAATAAAAACAAAGATGTTATTAGACAAACATGTTATGAGCCTTCCAAGCTGATGTTCAAATAATCACTTTATGCTTTTATATTGAACAGCACACATTCAAAGATAAGCACATTATTGCATCAGAAAGCTTCTAGTCTCTGGTCTTCAACACTACACTGAATTATACGAAGACATCCAACATCTAGAATATGTAAATTAAACAAAAACATTCTTTTAAAAACATCTAGATTCCAGTATGGACGTGGCATCTACTGTACCTGCACTTGGGCTGATGCGGCTGCTGCACAGCAGTTCCATGAATTTCCTGCTGAATTCGCACATCCCTTGGTGGCTTAGCAACGGTGTGAATAAATGCCATCTTCACCTGTCGTCCTACAAGGGGTAAAAACAATGCATGTAAAGCTTTAACTGAAATAATTCTGAGTTGTTTTATAGGATAGATGGTTTAGGGATTACCATTATCATCATCATCATTACTTATAGATCTGGAGGATTTAGGAAAATATTGATTTAGTTTTTTCTCCAACTATAAAGCAACCAAGACGGTGGTTAAAAGGCCTAAAATGAGGGACAAATTTGCCCTGTTAGAATGCGTTTGTTTTTTATGCCATTCCTGGTACCAACATTATCACTCAATTATAAGAATGTCCAGGGGGGAATCAATGTCTTCTTCCATTGTAGAGATATTGATATGACTTGGCGTTGAGGCCTATAACTCACTCTAAGGAATCCTTCAAAATGAAAGAACATGCCATGCAAACCATGTCAGGCAAATGTGTCTCAGAAGAAGGTTTCAAGTACACCTGCATATATCTGGCCTGAGAGTAATATTAAGGTTTACTAAAAAGAAATATACCAAGACTAAAGGAGGACTGCAGTGCATTTTGTAAAAATGCAGAGCAGGTGGATCTGAAAGGAAGTAAAAATGAAAATATATGTTAAAGAACACGGCAACATTTTCTTAGTGTGAGAGATCATCTTAGAATCATCTCAGAGTATAAAAGTTTTATGTTTTTAACCTCTGTCTACACAAAACTATGTTAGGAAACTGGTTTTTAGGGCTTTTATCTTTAAATGTCCTCCATCTTCCTCTTCTTACAGTTGAAAAATTTACATTTTAAAGTTAGCATTTGGTGCCTGTGTGAATTGAATATCTGACAATAATTAAAAACAACATGCTACCATTACAGTTTAATAATGCCCACAAACAAGCCTGTCTTTCTCAAGAGATGATTTTCAAGAAACGTTAAATATTTCCCGTAGTTGGTAATGATTTAGAGCAAAGTGTACTTTTTCTTGACTAAAAAAAACACAAGCTCTTAAAGAGAGTTCTGCTACTTGAATCTAGCTTAGAAGTTAAGATTTTAATGTCAATATTCAGAAATTGAGTAGATGCAGATTTTTTTTAAATGCAAGAGAAAAATATATCTGTTAAAATATTTTGTGAGCAATGGAAAAAGGGCTATACATATATGCACCTGGGATAGATGACACTAAAGCCTCATCATAACTTAATTCCTACATTAAATTAAATTGAATTAATCTTTAGGGGGGTACGTGTCATGGATTTTAACCTCCTCCTTCAGAAAGTGGCAGTGCTGTTTTCAGAGCAGAGAACTCACCCTTCGGCTTCTTAGAATGTGCAGATACGATCGTTTTTGTCAGCTTTTTGAGCTTTCTTTCCCTCTCCTCAGACAATCTGATATACATCTCTTTCCATGACTCGTATTCCTGAAGTTTGCAGTCTTTAAAATCTCTCTGACAGTGTTTTCCCCACAGATGGTCTGTCACTCCGATGTAGATCTGTAAAAGAAAGGAAACTCAAATCGCAAAAACATTTGTGAACTGTATATGGTGAAAGCTTGTATCATAAAGGAATTCTTAGGATAAAGGTAACTCCCTAAGTAAGAATTAAAAGGAAACCCAAAATGTTGAGAAAAGGGATAGGCAAGCTGAATCACCTATAGTTACATTTTTTCTACATAAAGGCAGTGGAAGAATGAATGCAGGAAGATTTGTGAGGGCAGATGATTATCTCAGAAAAAGCAACAGTGCAATGATTTAAAAAAACGTAGACATATGGTATGTAGTGATTGCTTATCTGGGGACAGACTGATACGAAAGACAGACTGAAGCACAGCAGAACTTCCGTATCAGGAAAACAAGTTGGATAAGAGTAACGCATGTGGGCAGTAAGTGGGTACAATAGTAACGTGCAAAAGAAAGTGTGGGCAAATTAAAAACCCTACTACCAAAAGCTCATGGAAGCCAGTAAAATAATCCATTATGACTGATGAATTAAAATGTAATCAGCAACACTGCTTGTGAGGTTATTGAAAAAAGACAAGTTTCCCTGCACCTGAATTATGCAGTATTAAAATTTATCCAACTAGGAAAATCAGAACAGACTTCAGACAATTCTGTTCGTTTTAAAATTTGATGCCGTGATCTGTTCCAGATTTGCTGTTCCCCTCTCAGTGGCCTGAGTTATATTGCTCAAGTGTGACACCTAGTGGTCATCCAAGTCCATTACACTGTCCTGAAGTATGATACAGCGTAAGGTTAGAATAAAAGGCAAGAAAGGAGAAAAAAAAAGCTATTGTACCATTTGCTTTTTTTCCACAAAAGTTATAAATTAACAAAACAAATTAAGAAAATATTGATTAGTTTTGTGGATATGTTCCAAAACTGCTAAATTCTAGAGAAATGCAAAGATTTCTGTCATAACACACTCACAGGTGCTTCAATGATTCTTCAAATAAAGAGCATCAGCCACCAAGTGTGTTATGTTATGGGGGAAAAAAAGTGAGTTCTCAGTTCTATGAAGCCACAACAAAGAACATCTCCTTACTGGGTTAAATTCTTCAATTCGAAGCAGCTGCTCTGGTGTACACCTCTCCAATACCGGCTCAAGAAGTTCAAATGGAACCCCACCAGTCTCATAGAGCACTTAAAAAAAAAAAAAAAAAGATTTATACTTTGCAATATTAAATCTAAAACTTTCACAGGGAATACTCACAGTTGAGGTTGTTCTGGAGTGTGCGGATACACTGTTGATACAAGCTCATCATGGTTGGTAGGAAAAGGGTTTTGGCACCAGAATAGACTTGCATCTTCTTGTTCAGTCGCTGACCAGTGAAGACAGCAGATTCCTCCTCACAAAAATCGGGCTCCTTCTCCACTTCAATAAAGAAAATGTCAACGACTGTCATAGCTAAAATTTATGAAGGTTATTTTGTTTCAAAACTATTTGTGCATTGTAAATGTGAATTTGAAGTTGTAGATAGAGTTATATACCAAGTTTTGAATTTGTTTCAAGGGTACCACCCATAAGTCATAGATCATTTTTACCAGTGTGACATTTGTGTCAAAAGTGAAAGTGAAGGCGTAAATTGTAAAGTTGAATTTGTGTCTTACAGCAGCAGATCTGTGCAGTTGTATTCATTGTTTTGTATTCTTGTTAGGAAAATTTGAAGATTAAAAAAAATCAAAAATTGAAGAAGTTAACAAGTTCAATACACGTGTTGGAATTTGTTTTAGATTAACTGTAGCAAAACTGAATGGAAGATATTTTTTATGTGCAACTCACAGAACACACACATTTGTGTACTTGTACCTGAAGAGGTGTAACTTTTTTTTGTAATTTTGACAGATTAAAAATAAATCTACAATTACAAAACACCAAAGTTACAATGCACAAATAGTTTTGCAACAATAGTTCTGGACCATTCAAAGCAAAACTGAGAATGTAAGAGGTTTGTAAAGTGCAACTTGTAGAACAGAATTTGTGTACTTGTACTTAAAATTTGAACAGGTGTAAAAAAGAATTGTACTTGTGAAGTAAATATTTTTGAAATTCTACAAATACAAAACTTAGAATGTAACTCTCTCTACAACTTCAAATTAAGACTTACAATGCATAAATAGTTTTGAGACAAAATATCCTTAAAATTTCCCTTGCTTTACCTTTCTTTTCCAGGTAATAATCAACGTTTGAAGGTTTTTCCAGTTCTGGCAGAGAGGCGGGTAACGGGACGTCCATCAGACGCATTAAAGACTCCTGTGGCTTCTAGCATATTTTAAAGAATGGTTTTAAAAAACAAAAACTGATTAGAAACTTTTAAAGATATCTGCTCGGTCTACCTGTTCTGGTAAAGAAGATGACTTAAGGCGTTTAATCCCTGTATCTTTTGGCGTTTGCTCTTTAGAAGCAGTCCTGGTTATCTTGGAAGTTCTCTTCTGTCCTGAATGCTCTCTCTTTTTGTGGACATTAACATCATAGTTCAAGTAAGATTCAAAAGACATTGAAGGTTCTTCCTGCTCACTATTACTTTCTGCATCTCTGTGCCTTATTTGGATTTTTATGCTTTTTGAATATTTCTTACTTTCAGGATCTGATTTGTATTGTGGATCGCCATGCTTTTCATCATTTGCTTTTTTTCTTTTTCGGTTTTGAGCCTCTGAGCTGCTTGACATTTCCAAAAGTCTGCAATCTTTGGCCCCTTTTAATGTTTTTAAGTGCTTGTTGCAGGACGGAAATGGCTCTTTTTCTTTCACTGAGGATTCTTTCGATGGCTTTGCTTTTGTACACGATTCTTTTTCTCCTTTCAACTTTTGTCTCGACTCAGATCTGTGTTTTTTAGGAGTACCCTCATAGCTTTTGCCTCCAAGCATGGTGTCGCCATTTTGTTTCTTTAACTTGCAAACAACACTGTCGCCCATTCCGTCCTCTTGGATTTCAGCCTTACTTTTTGAATTGCTCTTTGTGATGTTTGTCTTGATTTCTTGATGCTTTTTATTATTTTTGTCCACATTAGCTTTTCTTCTCTGCTCTTCCATTTGTTCTTTCTTTATTGGCACTTTCCTGGCTTGGTCATCTAAAGCCTCATTGTTAGATGTTGGGGAGTTATTGTTTTCATCATTTAGCCAACTTCCATCGCCTGAACAGCTACGGTCACCCTCTTTGTTCTTGTAAGAATCGTAACCCAACCATGCTGCTTCGTCACCTTGGCTGCTTGAAATGGACAGTTTAAAGGTTGGGACAAGTAAAACCTAATCAAATATAGGAATATTCAGAAAACTTTACAATTAAAAGAAATTATTACCTTGCAGATTCCTTTGAGACAAGTTTCTTCCAAACTTTAACTAACGACTTGGCAAGTTCTCCAGCTTGTTTGTGTCTCCGCAGCGAGTTCACAGTTTTGCCAATTCCAGTTTCCTGTGTGCAATTTAAACCTTTTTAGTGAATACCTTAAAACCTCTAAATATTTGTAAAGCTAATTTTATCTTATGCAGGCTTACAGAAAGAATATCCAATGTGATATCCAGATCCTTCAGTTTCTGCAAAATTTTCAGAACCTAAAGAAGAAAAGGAGACATTAGGTGAGTGCATGTTTGGTAGCTGGATGTTCTTATTAGATGTCGGTGAGAACATTCGCTTCTAAATAAAGAAGCAAGTAAATAAAGAAGCAAGTTAATATGTAATCCCATTACTTTTTGTGCCTTGATATGGTAAAAAGAAAAAAATGTAACTGTTAATTGTAAAAAAAAAAAAAAAAAGAAAAGAAAATTAAATCAATTAAAATGTAGATTTCTAGGTTGCTTTTAACCACCAAATCTTTTTTTTATAATGAAAAAAAAATTGCCTTTGTAATAGTTATCCAATGAGAAAATGAAATAATTCCTATTAGAGTTTCTTTTTGTGGTCAAAAACTGGAGGCCATCACTACGGAGAAAAACTTCTCATTTCCTCATATTCTGAAAACCTCAAAACCTGAACTTGCAAAATGGACAGAAATTATTCTGTGTCACTTCCCATAAATGATTTTCAACAGTGGGTTCAAGTAAAATAAAAAAAGGCAAAAGGCTTGAAAAATGCTGATTGTCCAAAATAGAATTTCAGGTATGAATTTATTCTATGCTTTCTTGAATATCTACACAAAAAGAAGTCACACTGGGAATCCTACTTACTATTTTAGCAAAGTATAAAGACTGTATTTAAATTTTGTTTTTCTTTTAAAATCAAAAACTGCATAATTTAAAATATTTTTCTGGCTTCTAACAAAAATATATTTTGGTACAAATACTTGCCAAAACTACAGTACTATTGTGGGCTGTGCTTTTTAAGAGACCAACAACATATTAATATGCTCAATTGGTCATAAGGAAGGTGACTGATCTACAGCGAAAAAACAGTTGGGAGCACCAAATAAGGTAGTACCGGTTTGGGATCACCACAGTTGCTGTCACTTGCTGACAGTGCATCAGTGCAGAAGCTATGTATGGACACCCCCCCTCCCTTAACTATAAATGCTTACTGGCTCTTTAACTTGTCTATAAAACTAATGCATTCGCTATGTATGAAATTAGTAGGTTTTTTTCTTATTTAAAAGAATTTAAATTTGTTTCTGTGGAATTTGTTCATATGAAGTTTTTAATGCACTGTGCCTGCACACCCTTCACTAATTATAGAAAACCATAGACATAGTTGAGCAGATGGGTGAGATGCCAATTTTAGCATGAGGCTCCCCCATATAAACAACAGGAGAGGCTCTCAGAGTAACTTACAGGGATGAACATGTATTTAGTTCTAGGTTTCTACCGCTTTAGACAAGAAAATACAAACTGATCAGAGTTCAAGCAATTTTCTGAGAGAATACACTGAATTTTTATCTGGCAAACAAAAAGAGGAGAACAGATGCTTATGTACTCTTTCAGCATATTTTAGTACTTTGATTTATCAAAATTTATAATTAAAAATTTAAATGAAAAACCGAATTGTATAATTGCATTTATTAAAAATAATGAAATTGACTACGAAATAAAACAATGCTTAACTTTTAGTTTTTTTCTGATGTCTTTTTTTTCTTTCTTTCTTTTTGTGCGGACCTAAATAAGGAAATGAAATCTACCGTCGCAGGTTCTGCTGCATCTGAGAGCTGAAGTTTGAACCGCATGATTTTCTTCACCACATCTGAGTTTCTGGCCATCACGGTGATTCACGTGCAACCACCTGCGCACACCTGGGAGCGCGCGCCCGTTGATGACAGAGTTATAATGGGCGGGACTGGTGCTGGTGGTGCGCTAGTTTAACAGCCTCTAGAAATAACAAATTAGATCAATTACCCTTTGAGGGAAAATAGCTCGATGGTACAGTCAGCTCGTTGTCAGATTTTATAAAAATATATATATTTATAGCTATATAGATTTAAACTGTATATATGGAAGTACCTTATAATGCAAAAAGTAAAAGAAAACGTGAGATAGGTTATTTTTGGTCTGGATAGTAGGGAAGAGAATTAGGGCCACTGAAAAAAATTAAAAAGTTAACACATTTTTACATTTTATTTCAGTTTAATAGGGGAAAAAAGTCAGAATTCTGAGATTAAAGTCAGAATTCTGAGATAAAGGTCAGAATTCTGAGAAAAAAAGTCAGAATTCTGAGGGGGGGGGGGAGTCAGTATTCTGAGAAAAAAAAAAGTCAGAATTCTGAGATTAAAGTCAGAGTTCTGAGATTAAAGTCAGAATTCTGACTTTTTTACCAGATTAAACTGAAATGAAATTTTTAAATCGGTCAAGTTTTTTTAATTTTTTTAGTGGCCCTAATCCTCTTCTGTAGGATAGTGATTGTAATTACTGGCTATTTTTAATTTTACATCAAAAGTAATTTTTGTGTTTGATGAATCTGTACCAGAGGATAAATCTAACCAAGTAACGATTAAACCAACCAATTATGTTTTGCTTATGAGATCAGATAGCCTGCCCATACAGTAAGGGATAAAATCCTGCCTCAGCAACTTTTAAGTTTGCATCATGGTCCCCTTCCTATTTGGTTTGGTCCACTTTAATTCTTCAAAAATGTGTAATTTGTCTGTTTAGTATTATTTACAAACGTTTTTTCACAATCTAAACCTTTAAAGTTTTCTCTAAATAGTTAGAATACTGTACAAAAATTCAGCTTTACAATAAACTTCATGTAAAGGAACAATTTATACTGAGAGATTTCCATTTACTGTAAAAAAAAATAAAATAAAATTACTTTGCACAAGAATGATAGGAAGTATTAAGCATTATGTTTGGATTCTGTCTACTTTCAAGGCCATATTACCCTGCTCTCATGACAGCTAATAAAAGGTCATGTTTACAATTTATTTAAGCCTATTCATATGTCTCTGGGATGTTGTAGAAAGCTTAAAAATATTGAAAGATATTGTCAAAAGCACTGAATTGGTTCTGATGCATAGCATACTTTCTTAACATTAAGAAATCATTATTTTTATAGCTTTTCAATGAGGATACAAACTGAGTAATCTAGTGTGTTTACATAAAGGATAAAGGATAATGTTGGAGATTATTAATTGAGCTTAATATCTGGTTCCTGCTGCCACATGCTCTACACAGTTGTTGATTGGCACTCACATCTCTAGAGGAGGAGTTTGCTCCATGTTTTTCTGTGGGGGTCAAAGCTGGTCTTTCTCTCTCCTACTCCAGTAACTGGAGGCACAGCTTACCTTCTTCATCAGCCTAAACTCGATTCTCAGGTAAGTGGGATCTTCCCCAAAACTTAATAATGACAAAATATGCAGCTGGAAAATATGGGTGTTTCAGTGCTAAATGTTTTTTACAGAGGTCATTACAGAAATACAATAAGATTTTAGTCCACTGACTATCAAATACAATCATTTTTTTGTTCTTTTCGTCTTATATGGAGCATGCTGCCTGCAGACTTATTTAGGATAAAGGTAAAATATTTTACAAGTGAAAAAGAACAAAGATTTTAAAGCTTGGACTTAACTTTCCAGAGGACACGAGGCCTTCTACTCAAGTCCCAAAGACTATAAAAGGAACGTCATGAGAGAGCCACCCAGCATTGCTATTCTTGGACATGCTACTGATAAACTGTGACAGATGCATGAGGGGCATGTAGAAGTACCCAAGCTTTGCATAATCAGCTGGTTGCACACATGTTAAGCTGTTAGTGAATAGCTTTATGTAAGTAAATCTTAAGAGCTCAAACATTCTTAGAAGAAAAGACATGTAATTGCAGGGATTTTAGATGACCTAATAGTTAGGTGTCAGTTAATTAGTACCAAGCGCAAAGTGAGAACCACCTGTATAATATTGAATAGGGTTTCCTGAAACATGACTATGGTGTCTTTAGGAGCAAATATTTCCCCTCAGAGGAAGAGGCCACTGCTTCCGGGGATTATTGTTACTATGAGGATTATCTGGTCATATTGACTGTGTGTAGGATTGGTATTTGGAACACACCTTTTCTCTCTGCAGTCAGAACGTTGATTGGAGTACAAATAAGTGACTTGCATTCATCACGCCCCCCTATTCCTGGTTGAGCAGTATTATTCAACAATTACTTACTCATGATGTTGGAAATGGCTTTCTTCTAAACTCTAACATGTGTCTATATTTTCAGAAGGCTACGGGCTGTTTCACTGCTACAGCCATGGCACCCAAAAAGAACAAGACGACCAAAAAGAGCAAAGGAGACATAAATGATATCATGGTGGAAAACAGCCCCATTAACAAAATTAATGGACTAAACACTCTGATCGAGGGAGGAAATGGCTTCAGCTGCATTTCCACTGAGGTCAATGATTCTGTGTACGCACCAAACCTCCTGCAGGGTTTGAGCAACATGCGACAGGAAAGTTTCCTCTGTGATCTAACAGTCACCACCAAATCAACAACATTTGATGTCCACAAGGTCGTCATGGCCTCTTGCAGTGAGTACATTAGGAATATCTTAAAGAAGGATTCAAACCTGCAGAAGATTGACCTGAATGACCTCTCACCAGTTGGTCTAGCAACTACAATTACATATGCATACTCCGGGAAGCTTACCTTATCTCTTTACAGTATTGGCAGCACAATTGCTGCAGCAAGGCAGCTTCAGATCAGCACCCTGGTAAAAATGTGCAGTGATTTCCTCATGCAGGAACTCAGTGTAGAGAACTGCATGTATGTGGCCAATATTGCTGATGCTTATGACCTTAAAGAAACCAAGGATGCAGCTCAAAAATTCATGCGAGAGAACTTCATTGAGTTTTCTGAAATGGAGCAGTTCCTGAAGCTGACGTATGAGCAGATTAGCGAATTCCTTTCTGATGATTCTCTACAGCTCCCATCTGAAGTCACAGCCTTCCATATTGCCATGAAATGGTTAGACTTTGACGAGAAACGGCTAAAGTATGCGGCAGATCTTCTGACTCTCATCCGCTTTGGAACAATCTCTGCTCAAGACCTTGTGAATCATGTCCAAAGTGTTCCTAGAATGATGCAAGATCCAGAGTGTCATCGTTTACTCGTTGATGCCATGAACTACCATCTTCTCCCATATCAGCAGAACATCCTGCAATCACGTAGAACGAAGGTGCGCGGTGGCCTTAAGGTGATTCTCACAGTTGGTGGACGTCCTGCCTTGACGGAGAAATCTCTCAGCAAAGATGTTCTTTACAGAGATGAAGACAAAGTCTGGAATAAATTGACAGAAATGCCAGCAAAGAGTTTTAACCAGTGTGTGGCAGTCCTGGATGGTTTCCTCTATGTAGCAGGTGGTGAGGACCAGAACGATGCGAGGAACCAAGCAAAGCATGCTGTTAGCAACTTCTGCAGGTAAACACACTAATCTGTTTGATCATACCTTCTGTAAGATTACTACTTTTCTGTGGTGACTTATTTATACTCATTGTTCAGGTATGACTCCCGCTTTAACACTTGGATTCACTTGAGCAACATGATCCAGAGACGTACCCACTTCAGCCTCAACACCTTCAATGGTCTTTTGTTTGCCATTGGCGGCCGAAATGCTGATGGTGTCCAGGCCTCCATGGAGTGCTATGTACCTTCTTCTAATCAATGGCAAATGAAAGCTGCCATGGAGGTACCTCGCTGCTGTCACGCTAGCTCTGTTATTGATGGTAAGATCCTTGTTTCTGGAGGCTACATCAACAATGCCTACTCCAGGGCTGTGTGCGCGTATGACCCCTCCACCGACACATGGCAGGACAAGAGCAGTCTGAGCACTCCCAGAGGATGGCACTGTGCCGCTACCATTGGAGATCGAGCTTACGTCATTGGTGGCAGCCAGCTCGGAGGGCGAGGAGAGAGAGTTGATGTTCTGGTTGTTGAGGCTTACAACCCGCACAGCGGCCAATGGAGCTACTGCGCGCCACTTCACATAGGGGTCAGCACAGCCGGGATTTCCATTTTGAACAACAAGATCTATCTCCTTGGGGGCTGGAACGAGGGTGAAAAGAAGTACAAGAAGTGCATTCAGGTTTACAACCCTGATCTCAATGAATGGACTGAGGATGATGAGTTGCCAGAAGCTACAGTTGGCATTTCGTGCTGCGTCGTCACCATACCTACAAGAAAAACTAGAGAATCCAGAGCCAGTTCAGCTTCATCTGCTCCAGTCAGTATATAGGGGTATAGATCCCAACAGTGATTAAGTTCAGTCGTCATATCTCCACTTTGCCTGTTGCATTGTTGCTACTATTGGATATTGAGTTTCTTAATTTAAGCAAAGAAGAAGAGAGGTTTACCACATTTATTAACAGTATTTCATATTTTCATTGCTTAACGTTGTTGATGCAAAATACTGTTATGTAATTATACAAAAAATAATCAAATTATATTTTTAAGGGGCCAATTCAACTGAAATATTTTTAAAAGCTTAATGCTTCAGTAAATATAATAAAACACCTAAAATGCTGAATGTTGAAGAAAGCATAACAACAGTAATGTGGTGATGATGTGTTTTGCTACTGTGACTTTCACATATAGAATAGGAAGCTGGAGAAAGAATGAGTATGACGAATCCTACCAGGAGTAGGTGCTTATGATCAGTGCGTTAGTGTATAGTTACCCAACAGGTTCTATGACCTGATTCGCTGCATAGAGTAATCCTATGCCTTATTCATTGTAACTTTTTAATCACGATGGGCATAATTCAAACAGATTCTGTGCTTAAGATAGGTAATGGCTAAAATGATTTTGTAAAGAAAATACAGACAAAAATCCAAGGCGGTAACAATGTTTTGAGCCTGAGCTTGTCCCGAAGATCATGAATTTCCTGATAGCTCATGTCTTTCTATTTTATGTTTGTTTTTAAATTAAAGTGATGACTTTTAATCTCCTCTGAGAACTGTCTTTTGTTGCCAAGTGACTTTTAATGACTCTTAGTATGACTATTTCTATGTTGTGGTTATCCAAGTATTAGTCCAAGTAGGTTACAATGATCAGTCCAAAGATATTTAATATTTGGTTCAGTGACCACATAAATGTATATGTTATATATCTGATTTAGTTATTATATTGTGGAAGAAAATTATTATTTTGAACTTACCAACCCATTTGAAAATCTATTTTTAGAGCAAAAATTAAATAATCCTTGCTGGAGACAAGTTTTTTGACATATTATATTGTTTTTCAAAGGAATTTCATTATATCATTTATAGTGTAATTTTGAAATTGATTTTGAATTGTAGCTAAAATGAAAATGTGAAATATACTGATTAATGGATTTCATCTCTAAGTGAGCTAATTTCGCTTCATACTATATAAGAACATAAAACCAGGACAGAACAGTAAGTAAATATGTCAAAATGAAAAAAAGCATGACTTATCCGCAATGTGTTTCTTTATGTAGTGGTCCTCGATGTCTACTAGTTCCATGTCGTTAGTGGATGTTTTTTCCCTACTTAAATATTGCATTAGCTTTGGAAACATGGTATGGCTTAGCTATACAAGGTATGGTTTACACACCCTCTATTGTATCCTCTACCTCTTTCAAAATTTCAGCAGAATAATTTACATTCCTTTTAAAAATCATACCATTGTTTTTAAACGTAACCCTTACAGATGATTAAGCTGCATACTATCCTCCCAGTGACACTCCCATTAGTAAACACCTTTTATAAACAGCTCAGAGGAAACATTCTGCTGCTTTACATAATCTTTGACTGGAGATGCAATATGATATGAGCTGCACAGGTGTGCCATGTGTGTCAAGGGCCATGTTCTCTACCATGTAGTGTAGTTTTTATGTAAAGCATTTTGTGTTGCGCTCAATCTTGTGGGGAAAAAAAGTTTGTTTGAAATTTCCTGTTCTGTAACTAGAACTTAGGTTACAATTAAAGAACAACAACTTTTTGATTTTTTTTTTTTTTTTTTTTTCAAAATGGAAAGTTTAGCAATAAAGAAGAAAAAGAGCTAAAGGCATATAAAGGCAGCTAAAGGCATATATCTTTAAAAAAAATCATATAAACAAAAGCTTAAAGGTGGGCTTTCTATAGACAGAAGCATTCAGGGTCTAATCTGCAGCCTTGTTTGCAGTAACAGCAATAGCCAATGTGGATGAAATAGTTTTTGCATTTAGAAAAAAAGGATAGTAACCTCTGTTGGTCTGAATACTGCAAGCAAAACTCTATCCAAACAAAACTCAATCCATATTAGGGAAGGCTGTGGGTGCAGTTTAGACAAAGAATGCTATTCTACCGACCCACGGTTGTATTGTTAACATGCCATCCTATAAAAGCTGCTGTGTCATTATTACATTTTTATTTTCTTAGAATGATGCTGCAATCAATGTTTTTGAAAAGCTTTCACCTTTGATTTTCTTGTCATAAACATGACTCATTCATTTTTAAGTGGTCAAAGTTATATGACTAAGCAGTTTGGCACCAGTGTTCTGCATTCAATTGTAGAAAAACAAGACAGAGAAGAAAAAAGAAACTAAATAAATGTAAGGAGGTTTTAAGAAATTACAAACCAAATGTTGTGTACTGAGTTTTAGAGATTTTTCATGCAATAATGAAAGCCATGCTTTGCTTTGATTTTCTTTCTGGTTTTATTGGTTACAGTTATACCAAAATGCTGGACTGGTTAGGTTGATATTGTAAAGAATACAGTTAAAATTTGTACCCCCTGTTTATCAAATCTGTATTTATTAAAGGATTTTAAAGATGGATCTGAAGTATTACTGTGTTTACAAAATGGAAAACATATACAAATACACATATACAAGCATATACAAGTTATTTGTATATGTATAGTTACAATAACAAAAAACACTTGGGTCTGTGTTTGAATTTATGTGGACTTCCACCTCTCTACACAAGGCAAAAACTATGAGAACAGAGTAAAAATTCTATTCAATAAGTTAGGATGTTTTCTTCTGAGGAAGCACCTTTATATGTAATAAAATTATATTTTGAAAATAAAAACCTTTAAGCAGATAATGAAAATATGCTGCATTGAGCTCTTGTTCCTTTGCCATTGTTTTTGCTTTAAAAAAATTCTTAATGTTGTATTTTTATGAGCTGTAACAGAAAATCTTCAATACTAACCAAAATAAAAAAAAAAAATCATAATTTATCTTGAGCGTTATATAATGAATTTTGTAACTTAACGAGATGACATCAATAATATTGCAATTTGTTGAAGGTGGCTGAGTTGTCCTCAACAAACAAAATAGAAATCACGCTTGTTTTACAGGATAGAGCACTTTTATGCTTTTTGTAGCCTATAGTCATTTCCATTGTAAGGAGCCAGCGTTAAAGCAATGATATTAAATTGAAAAAACATTGAATTATGCTTACAGCTTATTTGCTGCAAAAGGTTAACTGAATCCTCCAGCACTTGTCTTGGAAAGTTTAATTAATTAGTCATAGGGAAGTATGTAGTACGGAGGAATGGTGCGGGTTGTCACACTCATCACAACTAAGCCAGCACAGGGCATTGTAATAAAAAAAGATTTTTGGACTGAAATGTTCAAAAAGGGGGTCAAAGGTTAGTTTTAACTATTTCAGTTTAAACATTATTTTGGACTCTCCTTTCCTGGTACAAATATAATGACAGACAACCAATTCCTGTGATAAGCTATTAACTTTGTTGTCATTTGCGTTTAAATCTTGCTTAACTAAAAGTTTAATCCAGTTGCCTGCATCCCTTTAAATCAAGTCTTACAAGCATCATTCTGTCTGTTACCTGGTCTGAGACTGGTGGAAATAGCAAGATTACAAATATATATAAAAAAAATGCTAAAAAATATATGGTAATAAAATATTGTAAAAATATGCTACATTTCAGTCTGAATATTAAACCTCAGTTTCATAAGTTTCAAATTTGGTGGTAGTAGCATGTAGCCTTCATAAACACCTACATTTACAAGGTATATTTACATAAGGACAAAGATTTCAACAATTTAAGTAGCATTTTAATGTGACCATGATTTAGAAAAACAAAACAAACTGCCTACATCTTTTCACAGTATGTAAATAGAAAGGTGTTAATAAACTCATAAAGTAGCAAAATAAACTAAACAATCACAGTGTAACACAGGATTTTGTGCAGTGGATAGATGTAATAGCATAATGTATAGATATTTTGTAGGCACTTTTTTATCTTTATCATGTTAATATAGACCAGAAATTTTTTGTCGCTAAGGTGAATTTAATATTTGGCCTTTAAAATTCACTTGAACAGTTAATAAGATATTACTTTCAGTCAGTCATCTTTGAACTCCAGCTGTATTAACATGGGATCACAGTTATCTGATAGATCAGGAGTCAGCAACCTTTGGCTTAGTTGCTCACTTAATATACTAAACAATGTTCTTTTACCCAGGGCTTTTATTTAGTTTTTTTTTTTTTTTTGTTAATGTTCTTTTTATTTTATTTTATTTTTTTGTGTGTATGTTTGTTATTGTTTGTTGTTCTGTGCCTCCATAAAACAACGCTGGTACCACCTTGACATTATAATAATAATAATAATTATTATTATTATTATTATTGTGATTATTATTATTATTATTATTATTAGTGTTATTAATATGCTGTTTAATGCTTATTTCAATGCCTAGTTGGTCATGAGCCTAGCTTCCTGAAGTGCTGAGTCATGTCGGCCCTCCCACAGGCGTCACGTGTGTAAATCCAGGAGGGCGTTCATCTGTTAAACACAACGTAAGACGCGTGCAGCGGCAGTCTGTCTCTGTAAAGCTAGAGTTCAACAGTTCATCTCGCTGCCAGTCTACCACGGAGCCGCGGAGTAAACTCCGACAGTAAATAGCTGTCAGCCAAACCGACGCAACTTGTCACCGCCGAGCGGCTCTAGTTAGACCCCGACTAACGCATTGCTCTGCCGTGCTAACCGGTTATTAGCCGGGCGATGAGAAGGGGGCCTGTCTGTTCTTGGATGTCCAGTTAAGGTTACCCAACAGCGTAACCTGCATCAACTGCCTCTTCCTGTCAACTACCCGCTTCATCCAGACGGGACCAGACTGCACCGCTTGTTTGGACTGAGACTTCATGCTAGATCCTCGTCCGTTGGACCACCTAGCCTGGTAGCTAACCTTTGGCGAGCAGTTTGCAGTTAATAAGCAGCCAGCAAGACACCGAGCGGCCGTCTGTCCGTGTGTGCCATGGGCTTGCTGTCACAAGGATCACCCCTGAACTGGGAGGAAACAAGGAAGTATGCGGATCACATAAGAAAGCATGGCATCATTCAGTTTCTCAACATCTACAACAAGGTCAAGGATCGGCAGAGAGATGTGTTGAAGTGGGGCGACGAGGTAAAAACCAGACTTGACAGATTTCCCCTGCTTAGATCTTCTAGGCATGATGCAATAAGGCTCCCTAATGATGCATCAGCCCAATAATTGTTTCTACCACCAGCTACATGCAATTAAATCACATTTTTACATTTGTATGCATTATTTTCATGAAAATATAACTTTTCCACTGTGTTTACCTTTAGATTCCTCTTTTTAAATAAGTTTTTTTAGAGCACCCATTTCAAAATAGTATATTTTTTAAAGCATTTAATATAGAGGTCCCATCATATCCAGTTTTAAAGAGAGAAGTGATGAAAGGAATAACCAATAATCACCTTTGTTTTGTTTTTTTATTGTTTTTTTTATATATATATATATATATATTAGATGGTTTTTGATTATTTTGGTGCAACAGTCTAAAGTAGACAATGTTGTCTTATAAACAACCAAAATATCATTCATTGTTGTTCCACAGTAGAGAAAATTAGGTTGCATAAAACACACAAAATGATGAGTTCATATAAGCAGGGGCAGAGCTAGATGGGGGGCGAGGGGGCCAATCTGTGGCCACCCCTGCCATTTTTTTTCCCTCTGATACAGATTGTGGCAACAGTAATACTTTCAAGTGGAATATTCAAAACATTTTAATTTTTCATACAGTAACAATTACTTGACAACAAAACACTGCGTTTAATTATGCGCATCAATGTATCGACATTAAAGATATTTACAGAATTCAAGCTATTTGCAGAACTACATTTTGTGTTATATGGGGTAAAGCGAAAATGATTTTTCTCTGCAAGTCATATAGGAGTATTTAGTGAAATCATAGATAACTATTTTAAAAAGGTATTAAATAATCAATTTATGTAGATATTAGTGTTGTCACGATACTAAACTTTTCAACTCGATACCGAAACTAAGTAAAATATTCAATACTCGATACCCTTTTCGATACCACAAGAATAAAAACAAAGACTCTAAAATTCAACAGAAATATTCTCATTACTAAAAAAATACAAGAAATGAATAAAAAAACAATAAGAATAATATTTTGAGGTTGTATGCTGTGCACAATATTAAGCAAGCTTGATAAAAAACTTACAAAATTAAAATTAAGTGTTCCTTCCTTGGCTATGTTTTGCAGACATAACAATGACACTGGCCAAACCGGTTAAAAAACAAAAATAATTCTCAGCAGCTGCACCTGTTACAAAAAAGTCTGAAACTGAAAAATGCAGAGAATTATTCAATCACACAGTGTTCAGAAAGTGCATTTTCCTCTATTCTGCACTTTAGATGGCTGTATCGATACTTTTGAAAATGAGTATTGTCTCCGGATACAACGTTTCAGCATCCATACTTTTTTGAGTATCGATACTTTTGACAACCCAAGTACTTGTAAATATATATTTTTTTTTTAAAAGAATGAAAGTAACTAATGACAATGGAAAAGATGTTTGCCCCAGAACTCAAACCTGAAAGAATTGTATCCACTATACCTTTTATTTTGGAAGATGTTTAAATATAAGCATCTATTTTTTAGCGAAGGCTGTAGAAAAGGATATTTTGCCTTTATTTAGAAAATATGGATGTTATGCTCATTAACTTTCCTGTTGGACCAGTGTAGATTGACCCAGAGGTTCTGGCGCCTATCCGCTTTCGGCCACCCCTCAGAGTACATTGCTTATTGCCTGGCCAACTTTATAAAAATGTTCTAGCTATGCTTCTGCATATAAAATAACAAAAATGTGAGCAGTTTATTTTTTTTTTAGATAGATTTTTTTTTCTTTATAAAATCCTTTAATCTGCCTACATCACCCAGAATGCTGTGCAGTTCGCAAAAATTAAAGCTTGGCCAAATTATAGAACACTTTCTACTGATTTTAATCATGTGTTTGTTGCGATACGTATAGTTTTGTTGTCCAACTGTACAATGACTTTAGGTATTTGTGCAATTGAGTTAAAATACCTATTCATCTTAAAGCCCTCCCAAATGTGTTAAGTTTATGATTTTGCAGCAACCAGTCCTCCTGGTTAAGCATGTGGTAACAGTAGAGAACAAAGGGTCTTCTTTAACAGTCGGAAATACCAGAAGGAGTGTGATCTGACTTGGCCGACTGAAGAAAACAGTGTTTACTCCTAAATGACTGTCCTGCTCCAGCAAAAATACAAAAACAAAATAACAAAAAAATTGGTATATTAGAATCACATCTTGAAGAAAATACACCTGCATGATTGCTACAGCAATTGGCGTTAGTCGCTTCAGCTTGTAGAGAAACACAGCCAGCCAAACACTAAAGCAATGAGCCTGTAGTACTATCTATTGGATGCAAAACAGAGTGCAAGAACAATAGTCTATAAATATGGTATCTTGGAATCATACAGTATTTATGACCCTGAATTGCTGCAAGTCCAAGCAAACATGACCTAAACATACATTTGCAATGCTGACAGTCCAGCTTTTGTCTTTGCCTAAAGCTTTTTTACCTTGCATTTCAAGGTAATTGCTCATTCTTATTAATGCAGAGAATACCACTTGTTAGGGGAAAACAACTCTCCTTTGCCTAGTAAACAGGAGCACAATCCTTCCTACACACAATATTTTAAGTTCTATGGCCTTGACTGATTCTATCCTGTTTGCAGCTCCAATTCTTTTTTTTTTTCACCATCGTTTTCAGCCTTCACTAACAAAACTCCTCTCTGCTTCAGTTCGAACACAGGGTCTTTAATTTGAATCGACATGGAATGCTGTTGTTATAGATTAATCCCTCTTTCAGACAGAGGATTTACAGCCCAGCAGAGTCAAAGTCAAGGAAACCTCACTGATGAATTGGAATTGATGTGATGGCTCCCCAGTCTGTTTAACATAAAGCCACTGTTAGGCTTTAGGATCATGCTATGTTTTCATGTAAACCTCGAGTGTCTCCTTTTTTCCCCGCTTTCTTTAGGTGGAGTACATGCTGGTGGAGCTGGACCACAACGACGAGAAGGTTCGGCTGGTGCTGAATGGTGGAGAAGTTTTGGAAACTCTCCAAGAACAGGGAGAAAACGTAAACCCAAAGTAAGAAATACGCACGGTTGTTTTATTTTTCAATCCGAAAACTGTTTTGAAGGCAGCTGTAATTCACGATAGATGAGAAAACATCTAAAGAATAGCAACTTTAGAGCTGTTATTACGTCCAACCAATCAAATGGTGAGCAGGGGAGATGTGTTGAAAGTCTCGACCTTCAGCATGTTTGAGGTTTGAACAGCTGTCACGTTAGTAAAGACTTTTTCTTTCTTCTTACCGCAATAAACAGAAATCACATACCTGTGCAAAGAGAAACACCTTTAGCTATACATCTACACAGCTATGCAGCTGCAAACATTGCCTACAGTTTTGGTGCTTTATCTAAAAGGCTGCTGCCCTGTCAGAGAAACACCCACTGACCTATATGGAAAAGAAAACCACAGTGTTAACAGTTAAAAAATAAAACCTTTTAAAATGAATATCATATTAAACCCCAGAGGTGCTATAGGTGTTTTTGTTAATGTGAGCCTCTGTTGTGTTACCTTATCTGACACCTGATCCGCCTTTGGTTCTGGCGAGGATACACGGTTAACTCGCTGGCGGCTCGTTTGGTTTTGATTTCACATTGCTTCAAAGGGATGAAGTGGTTCTACTGTTGACATAATTTAACTATTTGTGTTATCTATACCTGATACACAGGTAAACCAAACCAGGAGTGGTTGGGTGATTAGTTGAGCAGTCTGCTCTGGTAGCCAGATCGCAGCTGTTTGGCAGAAACGTGGGTGAAATCTCTGGTCACTATCTGCTGTCATTTTGTTTGTTTTCTTTTGCTGAGGGGATAAATAAGTTGTACATATTATAAACAGGATCTAACATAACCTGAAGTGGTAATTTGAAAGTTTTAGACAAATGTAGATCCTTTCTGCTTCTCCAGAAATGCATCATTTCTCAGTACTGCTGAGAGGGAGGCGTGCAGATGGAGTTATGATCTAGCCGGCCTGCGCTCCTATTGCAGAGGCTGTGTCTGGGGTCTTGTCACCTGTGGCTTACTGTGGCCCTCGCTGTGGCCTTAAATAACTTTGGTCAAAAATAATAAACATATGACCAAGAGGTTTTTAAATAGGATATTACGTGAAGCTCATTCTATGAGTTCTGCTGTTTTAAGTGTTGCAGCTGTAGATTGCACACTGTTCTCCTTCTCTTTGTGATTTACATACGAGTTGGAAGGAAAAAGTGAAAATCCTAAACGTATTCTAACCACTATGTGTCAGTGACTGTAGATGGAAACAGGAAGGTGTGCATTTACAGTAAATCACATGCCCATACATGTATGGATGACTTAGTTTCATGGTTCAAATAGTTTTAAAGATGATCTGCCTATTACGCAAAACAGAAATGTAAAAGTATAGGATCAAATTTTTATTTTTTCATTAATGCAGCCAAATCTAGAGGCAGGTCCTTTGCTTTGTTTTGCTAAAATATAAATCAAAACTTGTTGGCAGGTTGAGATAACATAATGATAACTGCAGGATCTTAACCATTTACAGTCAAAGGATTGGAAGGTGTGACTCTTCAGAGTTGCATAACTTGAATTTAACTCTTTCAAACTCTCAAACTTTTTTAACATTGATTGTTTTGCGTTACACAAAACTCCATGTTCCCATTTATACATCTTGTAAGGAAGAATTAAGCCATTTAGGCCGAGAGCAGCTAAATTTCAGTCTGATGATTGAATAGTTCCTCCAGCGTTTGCTTGTGATTGAAAATCCAAAAATGGGAAGTCTTTTAAAGAATTGGTGCTTTAAAGCAGGGTTTAATTAAAACAGCCCTCTAGAAATCTCTAACTTTGCATTAAAGTGAAATTATCTTTTATTTTCATCTGTTAAAGTTCCTTTAGGTGCTTAAAATACACTTTTTAAATGTGCAAATATGATGCAAATTTCTTTAGCCTGGAGAGCTCCTTTGTGAAATAGTTGGCAGAGTTAACTTATATATTCCAGCTCTGAATAAATTCAGGAAATTAGGTGAACGCAAATAGTGTTTTCAGATTTTCTTCCCTTTTGTTATACTTGTTAATGTTGTTCATCTATTTATTTATTAATACATCTTTTTATTTACTCTTCTTTTGTTTCTTTCTGTCTGTTTATTCATCCTTATATGAAGTTGGACCAATGTAGAAACATCTGCAGTAAAATCAATGAAAAAAAAAAATTCTAAATTTGAGCTTACAGAAGTTGGTTATAAAACAGCCATGTTTTGGAGCCACGGTTAAATAACAGTCGTCAGCAGTCCCTGTGTTTATACAGGCTCCCCGTGTTATGCCTGCCTATGACATCACTGTAAATCTGTATGGCTGACTTGACCAAGGGGGGAAATGCCAGTAGCAGTGACAATAGTAGATCCCATGCATACCTCATTATTGCCTCTCTGTTGCACACACCAGAAGCACAAAAGCAAAAGACTTATGCTGCCAGGATCACTGGTGCCATCAAGTAACCTGTTTACTGAAAACGTATCAGTGTGATCTTGAGAATGGGGTCTTTAATACAAAATGTTTCAACACGTTTTACCTTTTTACAGTCATCCAACACTTTGGAGACCAGAGTACGGGAGCTACATGATCGAGGGAACCCCCGGACAGCCGTACGGGGGAACTATGTCAGAGTTCAACACTGTGGAGGGCAACATGAGGAAGAGACGCCAAGAGGCTTCGTCTGTTCTAAAGAAGAATGAGACGCTCTGCACCATTACTTCCTTTCCCAGGTCACTTTCAGAAGCCAGTCTCTAGTGATTTATGTAATGAAGAGATTAATGCAGCGACTAGCAAATTGCTCAGCGCTATCGATTTGCATATCTGTGTATAAATGGCTGCGTTTGTTCCCAAGCAGAGCTGCTGATGTGTTCAATTCCTCTTTTCAGGTTAGGTTGTCCAGGTTTCACCAAGCCAGAGTACCGACCCACTCCCGTGGAAAAGGGAGTCTCAAAGTCTTTGTTTTTCCCTGATGAAGCCATTAACAGACACCCAAGGTTCAGGTAGGCTTGTTTAGGTTCAATGTTTTGTGTACAAAATATTCTCATTATTAACAATAATTCAAAAAAAAGATTATTAAGCCAATAGCAGTTGCCATTATAATTTCAATATTAAACCAAAAAAAAAAAAATCAGCATTTTTATGGGTATTTTTTTTGCCTCAGACCAACATAAATGATGCATTATTATGAAGTGGAAGGAAATTAAAAGGATGGGAGAAACCTGTTATTAGTCATCTACACTAAAAGTCTGGATCTTCTTGAAGAATGATAAGAAGGTCACTGTTGTTAGAAAAAAATCATTTAGAATCCTGTTTAGAATTTGCTGAACGCCACATGGAGAACAACAAACATGTGAAAGAAGACTTTGACTTGTATGCAAAGCACTATATGTAGATCAAATGTCACTCTGCAGTATTACCTGAACGCACCCTCTCCAAAATGAGACACGGTGGTTATGGCGTCATGCTGTGGGGATGCTTATCAACCAAGGCAGGTACTATACTTAAGATTATGGGAAGATTAATGTCGTTAAATGCCAAACAATGCTGGGAAAAAGGCTTCAAAATATTTCAAACTTGTAAGAAACTAAGTAGAATTAAGTATAAGGGGCTAAAAACTAATGCTCAGATCCATTCTGAGTTAAAAACCATGTTTCAAAAATCTGAAACCAGACAAACCTGCAGCCAGACAAACGATAATTATACAAATATTTACCTAAAATAATACCTTTCTGATTGCTTTCTAGAAGAAAAATAATAATATATAGTTTTTTTTTTCTTCTGCTTCAAAAACATTAAAAAGTATTAACATTGGTGATAAGATTCAAACAAAATGCATCAACTTTTTTTTTTTTGTTGTGTCATGTGTAAAGATTGTACGGCAGTGTAGATCAACATCTAACATTTCTTTCAGCACTCTAACCAGAAACATTCGCCATCGAAGAGGAGAGAAAGTTGCAATAAATATCCCAAGTAAGTTTGACTCCTTTCCTTCTTTATTGCATCACTGACTGCATTAATCATGTTATAAATATAGGTGAGGTTCCACTTGGAATGGTAATAAATAATTCCTTCTTCTCATGCAAACTCATGCGCTTAATTTGTTTGGCTCTTTAGGATTCAAACGCACATTGAATCAAATAAAACAAAGGATGTGATCGGTCTGCGCTTCCTCTTGCAGTCTACAGAGATAAGTGCACACCATCTCCGTTTGTGGAGCAGTTCCCAGAGGATGACGGCGAAGCAGCGAGGGCAGCTCTTCCTGACCATATCTACATGGACGCCATGGGCTTCGGCATGGGCAACTGCTGCCTGCAGGTGGATGAACTCTTGTTTTTTTTTGCACATTTCTGAAAATGTAAACTTTGACTGCAACTCCACCATCTCAATCAGTGATTTATAAAAGGACTTTAGCCTCATTTATGATTCCCTTTTGCAGGTGACATTCCAAGCTTGCAGCATTGATGAGGCCAGGTATCTTTATGACCAGCTAGCAACATTCTGCCCCATTGTGGTGAGTGGTTTTATTGAATGTCGGATTCCAGTTGGGCATTATTTAACCGACCCCCTTCTTAACAGGACTGTTATATCACATGTGGGCAAAAAAAAGGGATAAAAAAATATCCTCGTATATGTTTAAGATCTTAACCCAGAGAAGACTGGGTCATAATTACTGGTAAATCATTTTTTGTAAATAAACAACCTTTCTTTTTTTCATAGATGGCGTTGAGTGCGGCCTCACCTTTCTACAGAGGGTATGTGTCTGATATTGATTGCCGCTGGGGAGTCATTTCAGCCTCCGTGGATGATAGGACCCAAGAGGAGCGTGGACTAAAGGTGCTTCTTATTTAGATTGTACAGTTTTCATTTGAAATGTCTTCTGTGTCTTGTTTATTCTTCTAACTCCAGCTGCTGCTGCGTTGCACCAACCACCTCTCATCCATCACTCATTCCAAACACAAGACTGACTTTCCCCTATAAAAGTCAGCCTGTATGGGCCTGTTACTCCCTCGCCTGGCAAGTCAGGGGCGTATCAAAGGCAGGATGCATAGACTGGAAACGAGGCACCTTAATCCTGCCCATAAGGGTTTTGTGAAAGGGGCTTTAGAATACTGGGGAACACTCCTTGATTTCCAGCAACTGGACTTTCCATGCTCTCCTTTTTTTTAACCCGTGGGAGTATTTCTAAAAACGACTAAGTGCGTGTTTCTCACACAACTACAGAGGAATGTAGAGAAAAAAATATGCTTTAGGACATAAAGGGGAAAGAAATCCCTCTTGGAAATACTATGCTGTAAATGCATAAAAAATATATTTTTAAAACTACTCTCAAATAAGAAAAACTGAATAATTTGGCCTTCATAAGAATATCTTGATTGTTTTTTTTTTTTTTTTTTTTGATAGTTTAGGTATTTTATAAACTAACAAAATATTTCAACAACTCAAACTGAGCAATTATAAGACTCCTTATTTAATCCTAGAGTGCTATAGGCTAATGTGGTTGTCTCGGGGTTTTTTATAAGTAGGAAGCTTGTTTTTTTTTGTTTGTTTTTTTACAGCTATTGCTTGATTTTTGTTTAAGTAATAGAAGCTTCTGTGTTCTGAATTCACTCTGTCTTTTAAAGTCTTAACTGAAGTTTGCCCTCTGTTGAAAATGTGCATTTGAGTTATCTTACTGCAGCTGAACAAAACCGATGTTAGTGAATCTGTTGGTATGGGTGGAAAACACAGATTTGGGACTATACACTGAACACAAACATGACACAAATGTTCCTCATGTTGAGTTTATACTAAAAGCGTTCCTTCCTGTTTCACAGCCCCTGAAAAACAACAAGTACCGGATTTTTAAGTCCAGGTATGATTCGATTGACAGCTACCTGTCTTGCTGTGGCGAGAAATACAATGATATCGATTTGACAATTGACGAGGAGATCAACAAGCAGCTGCTGGGTGCAGGTACTTATGGCTTTTTAGATGCCTCTTTAAGTTAGTCTACCCAATTCTCTGTAAAGAGTTACAGAAACGTGTGTTAAATGTATTTTATTTCCAGGGATTGACAAGCTCCTGGCTCAGCACATTGCTCACCTCTTCATACGGGACCCGCTCTCCGTCTTTGAGGAGAAAATACATTTGGATGATGAAAATGAGTCGGACCACTTTGAGGTGAACTTGCTTTTCTTTTTAAACTAAAATTTTGTCTGAAAAACATATTTGGTTTCACGTTACTAATTTCCATCCTAACTTTATGTAGAATCTCCAATCCACCAACTGGCAGACGATGCGGTTTAAACCTCCACCTCCGAACTCCGACATCGGCTGGAGGGTTGAGTTCAGGCCCATGGAGGTAGTAATGAGCTACTTTTTTGGGGGGCGTTGACCTTTTTTAATGGACTTTAGATCATGAGTTGTGTTCTGGTTTTAATTTGCAGGTGCAACTAACGGATTTTGAAAATGCTGCATATGTGGTTTTTGTCGTCCTGCTCACCAGGGTGATTTTATCCTACAAGCTGGATTTCCTGATCCCCTTATCAAAGGTTGGGAAAGCCACTGATTTAATGCTTTTATCAAAATACTAGTTCTGAGATTCAAACCCCATGTAAATTGATTAGGTGGATGAGAACATGAAGGTGGCACAAAAGAGGAACGCAGTCCAGGAGGGCATGTTTTATTTCCGGAAGGACATGTTTAAAGGTGGGCTGAACAGGAAGTGGAGCACAAAGTTTGAGCCTTTGATTAGTTCAGCTAAAAGTGACTGTGGTGCTGTTTTCCTGCAGGCTGTAACCCAGGATTGGATTGTGCTTCTGCTGCTCAAAATGGCGTGGAGACTGAGGGCAGCAATGAGGATTACACATTGATGAGCATTGACACAATCATAAATGGAAAGGTAATTTTTGTTCAACCTTTAATCTTAGTTTTATTCTTTCAAGTACTTTCCAATACTTCAAAACACCACTGTAAATGCGTTTTCCTGCGATTTTTATGAGACGAAATGCAACTCTTTCACTTTTTCTTTTTTTTTAACCAGCATTGATGCCCCAAAATAAACTTTTGTGTAAACATTGCCTTCAGAGTTTACCTAATTAAGTTAAATATGATGCTTTGTTGGTAATTAGACCTGAGTATAAATTGCAGCTGGTCTGTAAATGCCTCAGAGGTTTGTCAGAGAACCACTGTAAACAAAAAGCCACATGAAGGCCAAGGAACAGACCGGTCGGGGTGGGAAAGTTTAGAGCAGGGTTGAGTTATTAAAGTCCAGCAAAGTCCAGAACTAAATCCAGTTGGGAAAGTGCATAGCTTAGTAATGCTGCAGCTGTAATTGTTTTTCTATCAGGTATAATCTGCCTGATTGTTTTTTGTGGTCCTAATTTAGTTCAGATCTTTGTTTGGGGATTTGGACAAACATAAATGCATTCATTGAACCGATGCACAAAGCCATAAAAATGCATATCACAATAGGACAGAAGTAAATGACTTATAAACCCACCCCTTCATGCAACACTACTTGACCTGAATATGTCAAGTAGCGTGTATATACTTTTACTTTTTCACAAGATAGTAATTCAGATATGCAGCTTCATTTTCTACTTTTTTCTCTCTAGGAAGGAGTTTTTCAGGGGCTTATCCCAATCCTAAACTGCTATCTGGAAAACATGGAAGTTGACGTTGACACCAGGTGCACGATTTTGAATTATCTGAAGCTCATCAGGAAGCGTGCATCAGGTAAAATGTCACTTTTTATTTAGAGGCCCAAAATAAAGAAAGGAAAAAACAAGTATGTCTTATTATGTTTGTAACTGGCTACTGATTCCTTTTCTTGTTGATCTAAATCAGGGGAGCTGATGACCATGGCCATGTGGATGAGGGAATTTGTTGCAAAGCACCCAGAGTACAAGCAAGACAGTGTCATTACTGACAAGATCAACTTTGACCTGTTCAAAAAGTGCGACAGGATTGCAAAAGGTGAAGAGCAGTGCCCCGAGCTTTTTGGTAACCCGGTGAGCCGTGTGAAATGAGGGGAAAAATGCTGCAGAGGCACATTATTTTACTCCATTTTCTGTTTCTCAGTCATACACAAAATGGAAAGACCAAATAAAAGAGGTCCAATTATAATAAAAGATTGCAGCTGCATGTGTGTGTTGTGAAGAAACACACCTGCATTACGTGTATAAATGCTGTATGAGATTTTTATGATCACAGAATTATTTTAATAGGACTATGAAAGGGTTATGTAATAGAAAATCAGATGTGTATTTATTTTTGTCCAAAAGATTAATCATATCTGTGTGAAATTGTAAATGTAGCAGAGATGTACAGTAGGTTGCTTTTAATCTTTTGTAAATACTGAATATTTTGCTCTTTAATTCATTAACATTTGTTTTGTTATTTTTCATATTTGTTTAGAAATTTAACATTAGGGTTGATTTTCTTCTTTGCATTTGGGTTTGCCTTGCTCTGCTGAATTGGGACCTTGAAGTTAGTATTGAATTCAAACGGATGTGGTGATGCACTGTTTTCAATATGATGCTCTTTCCAAATAAACCTGTAAATCTTTTTGCCAGCTGTTATGATTTTTGTGTTTATTTCTTTTACTGATAAATTGTCTGTGTCAATATTCTTTATTTTAACATCAGAGGATTGAAAGTTGAGATGAAGTATAGTTTTACCCAAGTGTAAAGCAGGATTTTTATTTCTTTATATTTCATATATAATAGAAATATAATTTTATTGTCTTATTGTGGGAATATTCAATGAAAACAATCTGCATATATTTGTTGGAACATACAACTGTTTGATGGTTGAATAATTAAATATTAGATTCTGGATGTTGCTCAGTTTATTTGTAGCAAATGCAAATTTATGAGGAAATATATGGACATTAGATTATGAGAATTTGTCATTTCTGGTCATATATTTCTGATGTAGATTTAGTTATTTAGTGATACTGTACATCTACAGTTTAAAGTTATGAAAACCTGAAATTTAGTTTTTTTTTAGCAAATGAGAATATCGCATGAAGCCAGTAAGGATTTTTAAATACAGATCGGCATCCTGCTTAAAAAAGTTTCCAGGTATCATTCACTGCAGTCACTCAGTAGCTCGTCTGCTGCTGCTTTTGCATGAATTACTGGATCAATGAGGTGTTGGAGGTGATCAGCTGGTTGCTTTGCTTTACAGAAGACCTGATTGCCTCCAGTTTTTCTAAATTTACTTATCCTCTTCTAGATTACACCAGATTCTGTTTGAGTTTTTCTCTCTGACCAAACCACTGTTTTGCTCTACTGAACGTCAGTCTGCTTGAAACATCACTCTGAATGACATTCCTAAATAGCTTTTATTTTACATCCTAATTTTGTGAGAGTTTTGGATTTCAGATGAGAACTAAAACAAACTTTTTTCTACCATATTTTCAATAATGAAACCACCTTATGGCTCATCATGACTTGTACGGTATGTGTTTAACCACATGGTGGTGCTCTTAAAGCAGAATCTGGAGCCACACTGAGCTGCATTGACCGATGAAAGCATTACCTCAGTTTGACCTCTTAGATAAGATAATGATTATTGCTGCTGCAGACCTGTCTACTGGACACAGAGCTCTGCTAACATTTGTTAGTATGGACAGATTAATACTGCTGATCTGCAAAAAGAATATTTCTATTCTGAGACTTTATTTTTTGCTTGGAACAAATGTGTCTTGTGATGAGCTATGATTATTTAAGATAAATAAAAGAATGTCATTTTAATGACCTATGGAGACTCCTAAAATAAGTATTTTACTGTTTATAATTTCTGATAGGTTTCTGGAATTTTAAATATTTTTAATGTCTGACTGGAGATAAAACCAAAGACTTGAATTTAACTAAAAGTAGTGATACTAAGTCTTTCAATGCATTTATTTTTTATATAAAGTGGACTTTAAGTAGACTAGTGGGTGAAATCCAAAATAAATGCTTAAAAAAGGAAAAGGTGCACATGAGGAAATATGCAAGTCACAAGTACACTTTTTGGCTAAAGTCCTTTTTTTTTCTTCTTCTTTTTTTTTTTTTTCCTTCATACAATGAGATTTTTCCATTGTAACATGTTTCACCAGAGCTGATGCTGAGTAGGAGGTGGTTCCTGATCAGGCCACTAAAGCGTCCAATCGAATCAGGTGACGGGTTGGTTTTTTTTCCAGAAGGGGGGCTTTCTTTCTTCTTCTGAGACAACTCTAAAGATTACAATATGCTCAGTGTTTTATTTTCTCATGTTTAGGCATACTAATAGCAGATTGACATTACAATAGTAGCTAATAATGCATTAATGTTTGCATTGTACAGGTTCCATGTGTTTTAAAGCTACAGGTCAGACTTTTTAATGATTTAACTCTGTGAAAAAAAAAGTTTCTCACCTCCAAAACATTATGCCATGGATCTGTGTTCTTATTCTTTCAATATCTGATCCAGATTTGTTTTTAATTTCTTTAAGACATTAAAGGAAACTAGGCCAAAAGTGGAAGCCCAAAGAATTTCATTTCTAAATATGCAGTTTGTAAAAATAAAAAAAAAGAAAGAAAAAAACAGAAGACCAGCCCTATTTTTACAGTTTTCCAGGCCAGGTCTTCAACGTTTTCCAGGCCAAGGACCCCCAAACTGATGGCAAGATGGAGCGGGGACCCCCC